TGATGTCATCAGCCCCCCCCCCCCCCCCCCACCCCCATCGGCAGGTGACGTCCCCACCACCAGGTACTGGGCTTCAGCCGGAGTCTCAGCGCCACCATCGACTCCCCCATCGGCAGGTGGTGTTCCCACTGCAGGGCACGGAGTCTCAGGTGGAGCACCACTGCAATCGTCAACCTCCCCTAGGGCAGGTGGTTTCCCCACCCTCGGGTGATGCGATCCTGCTGCAGAGACGACACAGACTCTGTGGGTGTCACTGACCTTGGGTGTACTGGATCGACTGGTCACTCTGACGGCGCCATTGTAGTTAACAGCGCCTAGAGAGGGAATGAAATGAACACGAAACAGAGCACGGAGCTCAAGAGTCAAGCTCGACAGAAGAAGGCAGATGAGCTGTTGGATCACAAAGGTACCGGATCATTCTGCTGATAGCAGGGTCCTGGGACTGACGACTGACAAGATTGTTTTCAGAAAAGACAGGTTGAACAGACACAAAACCATCGGATGGTCGAGAGGTGGATGCATTAGCGGCCTGAGCTCGAGTCACCACACTCACGCGGAAAGGGTCTGACTGAGAAGACACATCGTCAGGGAGCTACAAGGGGTTGAAGGACCACGGGGTACCAACAGCTGCACCTTGTTTGGCAAGAGAGTCTGCAAGATCGTTCAGATCCTTGTCAGTTCCGGGTGCACGAGAATGCTCTTTGACTTAACGCCAATATATCTGCATGGCATGTGATGTCGCCAGGGCATCACAAGCCATGAAGAGGTCTTGATGTTTAACAGGCTTACGGTTAGAGGTTAAGAACCCGTTACTTTTCCAAGAAGGTAAACGCAATGCGTACATTGGTCACCACACCATCTCTGATGCGTTGACTGTTAAGGAAGTTCACTGGCTGATGTTGCGTTTCAGTGATGATTTTCTGTCCACCAATGTAGCTGGAAAAGTGTTTAACTGCCCACATGGTGGAAAGCAAAGCTTTTTCACAGTCAGAGTATTTAAACTCAGGACCGGACAAGAGCTTACTAGCATAGGCTATGACACGCCTGTTGCAGTCATATACTTGATAGAGACAGGCACTCAAGCAGTTAGATGAGAACCTGACCTCAAGGTGGAACTCTTTGTCACAATCAGGATGCGCCAGGCACGGAGCTGAGCATAATGCGGCCTTCAGGTCGTCCATGGCCTGTTGCTGCAGCTCAGTCCACTCGAAAGGCATATCTTTTTTCAGCAGGGCGGTCAGAGGTCTCGCCATCTCAGCATAGTGTTCTATGAACTGGCAAGAGTAGTTGCACACACCTAGAAAACTCCGAAGTTCAGAGACATTCTTGGAGGTCTGATGGTGGCCACTCCTTGAATTCTGCCATGTTGAGGCTGCACTCCCTGTGGTGCCACAAGGAGGCCAACAAACGGAACCTTTGACCTGCACCACTGACCTTTGGCGTGAGAAATCTTTTCACCAGCAGCTGTGAGCTTACCCATGACGCCGTCCAGCTCGGACAGGTGGTCATCCAAGGTACGCTTAAGAACAAGAATGTCATCGACATAGATGAGGGTACCTTGCTGTGGAGCATCAGGGCAGGCTTTGTCCAAGAAGATGCTGAACTCAACTGGTGAGTTGGAGTCCAAGGAGTCGACTGAAGGAGAGTATTTGTATTTTAACAGAAGTTGATGTAGCTTGTCTCGTTCAACTTCATTGGTAAGAGCATCGGCTTGGTCCACGACCTGTTCAATGTAAGAGAAAACATCAGAGGTCGGCTCTGATGGAAGCTGTGGTTGTGGTGGTGGAGGCTCTGAGCTCGGCAGGGAGCATGTAGTTTCCCCATGCTCATGGTCACCAACCGCAAGGCAGTGGAGGTCAAGGTCAGGAGGCAAAACAATGGGGTGGGGGTCTTCAACACCTGTCCAAAGTTCCCTCCTTTCCAGATTGATAAAAGCTTTAAGGCGCTTCAGAAGGTCAACGCCGAGGATCAAAGGCATGGCACAGCGCTCACAGACGTACACGGGGTGTGTCAACGTCATAGGACCGATCGTGAAGTGGAGAAGATACCTGGATGACAAGATCATGCTACAAGGAGAGAAAACACAGACATTCACTGCACATTGAGTGAGTTCTGGAGGTCTGACTCCTCCTCTAGCAGCAAGGCAGAGGCTCTTGAAAATAGAGTGGCACATGAGGGTGTAGTCGGAGCCAGTGTCCAGAAGAGCGTTGCAGGGGAGCACCTGTTTCAGTGTCACTGACAACAGGGGCTTACCAGCTCTCCCATGAGACAGGAGGTGTCCCAAGAACAGTTTGGCAGACTTCACAGCAGGGGGCGCTGGACCATTGTCACAGGCAGATCAATCAGTCATCAATACAGCAGGACCAGATTTTTGGTCTACTACCTGGAGATCAGAGTCAATGAGCTTGTTATCTGGTTGCAGGCTTTGTTCCTGTAAAATAAGTTAATTTACATCTAATTAAGGACCCGTGAGACATTAAGATTCCTTAGTGGATATGAAATCAACCTTACGGACCGCTGAGCTATTTAACCAGAAGATTGGAACTTTTTATTGCAGGGATTTTGTAACACTTTGTATTAACTGAGAGACAAGAGAAGAATCAGACCTTTAAAATGTTTAAGATGATTTATTTCTAAACAATTTAAATAATTTTAAACAAGACTAACTAATGACAGATGGATCTGGTGAATGAGACGTGAGATGAATGGTATGTGTGAGTGGTGTTGTTATCAGAACTCTCGTATCCGGAGAAGCAAGTCTGAATGATGTAATGATGTTTTGCTTCTAGCTACGATCAGAGTTTGACCGGAGTTTCATAAACACATGAGACGCCATATTTGTCACTCCACACAAACCCTTGATGAGACCCTTAATTTGACTGGAATCGACTGAAGCCAGGTCCTTGCTTGTTGTTCCTGTTAGAGTGAATGAAGACCCTGTGTGGGTTATTGTTATAGCTAAGTTTGGTTTTAAAGAAAGAATAACAAAGAAAATTATTATTCAGCTAGAGCTACAAATCTACATCAGATTATGAGATTTTTCTGGTAATTTTAATAAAATTCATATGCAGACAAGAAAATGGTAAATATTCCAACTTAAGAAATTAAATGTACCAATATGTACATTCCCATTGAATATTAGAAACATGAATATAATCAAAGTACAGAAAATATGCTCTGTATGTAACAAAACACAACGTTTCCTCATACATTTCTGATAATGTAGTAATATTATTAATATCCTGTATATTTTATAGATACAACAAGGAAGAAAAAATGGAGCCTGGACCACGAAAGTCTTTCTAAACATCTGGACGGATGGATTTACACATGCAGTTGTGTGTCACACACATGTTCAGAGATTATGATACATTCTTTCATTTCTGATGTGAATATGCTATGAGCTTCAAACTTGACGTTCAACATGGTGGAGCTGGTTCCTGATGTTTGGGTCTCACTGAACAACCCTGGCTGATCCTCCTAAAGGATGAAACATGTTGGATAAAGTGTTGGCAGCAAACTGAGCAAAGGCAACCAGACCAGGGGCATCCATGGCGATGTCAAGCTTTGGGAGTTCTCTGAAACAGAAAAAAAAAGCACAATGACATTAAGGTTGTGTTTAACGAAGTTCATACAATATTTCTTTACATAAAAAGTAGAATATATTTACCAACAACTTTTAGCTGGATTGGGTCACTTAAGGGGCTTGTAACCATTTTATCAGAAACCATAATTTCAAACTGACACTGATAGGATCCCTCATCCTGCAGGGTGACAGGAGAGAGTTGGAACGTAGCAGAGTTGTTGGACTCCTTATGATCCTTTTCTGATAAGTCCTTAGCATTCACCAGCAGGAATGTTTTTACTACTTGTTCTTCGGCCACTAAACAAGTGATGCTGACATTCTGACCCGAGGTAATCACACCATCAGGATTTATGATGATGTAAGGCTTCATCAGATCTGTTAAGAGACGTTAAAACAAAGGCTTTCACATTAATTCCATTTGTTTTAGATAATATAAGTTACATTTAATGAGTACGATCACATTTATGTGTATAAAACCCTCCCAGGTGATTATCCAGGGCTTTTGAGCCCATTTTGGTAATTCATAACAACATTAATAGTATCTTGACCATAAAAAATTCCACAGCTCCTAAAAACTTTGATGGTGTTTAATGTCTTGCACAATTTTTTATAGGATTAGGTCTTGTTCTGTAATTTCTGACACATTACTTGTCAGTTTCTTATTTATAGCTGAGAAGGAGTTGTAGGAGGAAAATGGATGGAAAATGAGAGAAAGGGGGGGTGGGGGGGGCGGGGGGTGGTAACAAAGCAGCCATGTGGTGCATTATGGGGCCTTTGCTCTCTGTTTTCTGCTTTTCTATTCAAATTGATTACAGATACAAATAAAATAGAATTCTCACCTGCGCAAATGACACCCATATCCTGATCATGCCCGTCATATTGTGTGACAAGTTCATTGACTGGATAGTAAAACAGATTGACTTCAATCCCAATACATTTCCAGTATAAAGGCACGATTGGTCCAGTACCTTGACCAAAGTATGCAGAGTAAGTGGCATTTAGGAGTGGACCACAACCCACATGTCTGCAGACCACAGTGGCAGTATTTAAATGCCTGCTGGAATCATGCACTGCTCCCCATTTGCCATTATCATAGACTTCAACTCGTCCAGAACATTGAGACGGTCCATCTAATCTGATCCAAGGACCTGTCAAGCAATGACAAAAGCAGCATGAATCACAAAAAACATGGATTGAACTAAATGTGTCAGTCTAAATAAACTGTGGCATAATGAATATTTTTGTTTAACGTGTGAAATATTATTTTAACAAATATGATCATATAGTTAAGAAAGAGTCAGTGTTCTCACCATAACAGTCAACACCTGCATCCAGCTCATGTCCACAGTTGTGTTTTCCAGTCAGATTGCTTTGACATGAAGGTAGTGAATTTTCACTTCCTGAACAGGTCCCGTCATGGAGGAAATTTTTTTCCAGTACCTTGTTCCATTTGAAAAGCGTTGGGCGAAATTGCTGGGCCACAGCCTAACTGTCTGCAGACCACCTCAGCATCATTCAAATTCCAGTTACTGGAACAAACTGTTCCCCATTCATTTTGGTAATAGATTTCTACTCGTCCAGAACAAAAACTAGACTGATAGTCAACTGTTCTGACTGCAGCACCTGTAAGAAATCAATAAAGCAGATTGTTGGAAATCACAAAGCAGTAATGCCTGAGCTCAAATGAGTCAGTCTTAAAAAGAGTGTCAAGAAAACCTTTAACTATCCAAAATTAATTTCCAAACTTTAACATTATAGAATGTTTATATGAAACAGGAGATTGCAGGTGCATCTAATCCAGAACTCAGTCTGCAGACCACCTTGTCTCAGAGATTACGGGCATTTCCTCAGGAGCACTGATTTCTAAAGTATGTCTCAATAAACCAGACTAACTCTATCCTATTGTCTTTACTCTATAAAAAAAAACTAAAAAAGATAAAGACTTTTTACATGAGTCTAGAATTATGCATCCCGCCTTAATCAGTTGTCTGTTTACAGGAAACTGTGTTTATCTATTTACACTTCTTGACAGCAGCTCATCCACTTCAAAACTGTCCCATTTGTAAAGGCCTGTATTATATAATAAACATTACATTATTTGCAGTGTGAATGATGAAAATAGTAAAAATCCAATCTTACTTTCACAAACCACACCAGCATCCTCCCCATGTACGCAGTTGTGTGTCCCAAATCCTCTGTTTGAACACCGAGTAAGAGAAGTTTCCATTCCCAGACAGCCAACATCATCAAGCCAGATTTGTCCGGTACCTTCACCAAAGTACGCTTGTGTAGTAGCATTAACTACCGGACCACAGCCTAACTGACTGCAAGCTACTTTAGCATCATTCATGTCCCAGTAGTCATCACAGACTGTTCCCCAGGAGCCGCTGTAGAAGATTTCAACTCTTCCAGAGCATTTCTCCTTCCCCTTGACTAATCTGATGGGATAATCTACAAGAACACAAACTATTAATACAATCATGAATTATACAAAGAGTAATCATAAAATTGAGAAGCAGACTGACCTATATCAGCAGATGATGAGGACAAGATAAAATAGACTGTTAGAGCGGGACAAAAACAGGAAGTGAAGAAAACACAGCAAAGTGTTTGTGATTTTGATTCTTAAGGTTCTAAACTGATATGAGCAGAGAATAAAGCAGTCAGTTTTGTTCAGAGGAGGCATTTTATTAATCTGATTAAGTGATATTCCCGAATAAGAAGCAGGAGTGCTAAACATTTCTTCACTTTGACAACCAGAAAAAATGCCTTAAAACAAACATTGATTAACCACGAGAACTTTTGACCTAAAGAAATGAGCTCAAGTCTTACAGAATATTTCTTTAAAAATATTTTGCCTTTACGATGATTGAAAAAGTGTTTTACCTGAAAACAGTCTTAGTAAACAGTTGACCATCCTGACGACTGATCAGTCTCAGATTTAACACAGAGACCCGCAGACAGAACAAGAACTAGCAGGTTTTCTGTTTCTACTCCTGAGCTTGCAGACGATGCTGCAGTGTCTTTTATTCGACTTTCACTGTACTGATGACTGACTAGTAAAACTGAAAGATATTTAAACACATTCCTGATCTTTTCCTAGAGTTAAGGACATATTTGCATAAAAACAACAAACACATTCAAGCAGGTAACAATAGATGTTTGAATAGAAGACAAAAGAATCAGTGATCCTAAACAAAACAGGCTGATGCAGTGAAAACACGTCTAAAGAAGAGCTCACATTTACATCTACTGAATTAGATATAAATAAGAAAACGTTGAACTTGTGCAACTTGTTGTCCTCACTGAATGTAATCAGACATGTCAACTGCAGGAACCAGACAGTTGTTCCCTAAAGCCTGCTTCTCCATCAGCTCCAAAAGGGGAGACACACACTCACGGATGGAAACATTTTGACCTCATACTTCTCTGTCTCCTGGAGGGTGCTGCAAAGCAATTCCCAGCCAGGACAACAGAGGGCGTAGCGCTGTTCTGTGGTATCCTGTCATGTATCTGGTCCAAGGTGGTGTGTTTATACTGTTTTTTTTTTTTTTTTTTTTTTTTTTTTTTTGTATTTGAGACTTTTTAACACGGACAAATTTGTCCCTCATTCTCCTCCACCTTTTCATACACTCGCCACCCCTAAACCCAGGTTTCCCATCATTTTCGTCCACGAATAAAATTCTTGCTTACCTTTCTCTCCTCCAGTCACGGGGGAATAAAACGTTCATATTTTAGAGTTTTTTCGCGAGGTATTCTTCAAGCTTCTCTGTGTCTGCCGCTTGTTATCCTCGGCTCTCTTTGTTTTAGAAGGCACAATGGCGGCGGTGTAGGCTACAGCGGTGCCCTGACCAATCACAAGCTTGCGTTCTCTGTCTCGACGGTCGAATGTTTAGAAAAGAGAGCTCGACTCCGTCCGTCCTTGCGAGCCTGCTGGAGAGCCCTCTCAAGGACGGACAGAGTTGAGCTCTCTTCTAAACATTAATAATGGCATTGCGTGCGTCCGTCCCGACGCAGATGGAGAAGTATATCTATTCTTTCGTTCTTTTTTAAACACAGAAACAGTTTTGTTTACCTGTTTGTAGCTACAGTTTCGCCGACGGCTGCCGGCTTCTTCAGCCTGAAGAAGCCGGCAGCCGTCGGCGAAACTGTAGCTACAAACAGGTAAACAAAACTGTTTCTGTGTTTAAAAAAGAACGAAAGAATGGATTTAGAAAGACACAGCAAGAACACACCTAAGATGGAGAAGTATAATTTAGGCTTTAGCCAGGACCTGCACATAAATCATTATGTTGATAGTTTATTCTGGTCAGTTTAGAGAAGCTCTTATTGTTATCTGATGAGAGAAACAACCTGCATGGAAACATCTTGGTGCATTCAGAATGAATCGACCCTTAATTAATTAAGCTTTTAAAGATGTACTGCCACAGGTGAGAAACATTGTCTGGTGGTCCCTGTCTCCTCCAGCTCAGCGTGAAGGAGGCCAGAGCTGGCCTTTTTGATCAGCTGTTTGAGTCTACAGCTGGGATGCTGTAACTCCATCGTGACATCAGTCGTTCTCTGAATTAATCGTTATTTTTGGATGTGGTTTGCATCTAATCTTGTATGTTGATGATGGTCTGCTCTGTTAGTAATTAGCAGTATGACTTTTTATTAGCCTTTTTGTTGTTTGTTTGTTTTTTTGTTAGCCACCGATGTAAAGTTGGTGAACATTGTTATAAAATTTTCAAAACATGAATTACCGCACACGTGGTCACAAAAACATCATGGTTGTGCCACTTTGGCCCTACTCTGTTTAGAGTGTGGTCACATGAAAAGACAACACTCCACAAACTGATTTCACGCACAAACATTGGATTATATTCCCCTGGCTCCGTGCAGCGTGCTTTTTGTCACCTTGCTTTCTGAATCTCTACACATCACATTCAACAGGTGGCATGCTGCAATGTCGTGCTAAGACAATCCAATACGTTGAATATCCCTGATTTATGATCAGAGCGGTTCCTACGTCTTTCCAAGCAGACCAAAGCTTCACACGTCAAACATATCTGATAATGGTCTCTGCAATGGTCTTCAGTGTAAATTCATTTTATTTATTTAAACTTAATTTAGTCAGGAAGAAAATCCCATTGAGGTTTAATACTTTTTTTTCCAGGGAGACCTGGTCAAGATTGGCAGTGGCAAGCATCAGACATTTACAGAAAAAAACATTATACAGATAAAACGCATGTATAAACAACACAAAATATAGTAAAAATAATTAAAAAGTAATTATAAGTTAGAAGCAATCTATATGAAACAGATACATGGAATGGAGTTGGGCTGGCAATACATATATACATATATAATGGCGCTATAATGGCGACAGACGGAGGAGTGTTTCAGTGCGGCTGCACGTCTGGTATGGAAACCTGTTTTACTGTTTTTCCTGCTTTAACACACCTGATTTTATTCAGCAGGTGATAGGAAGGCTTCTGCAGAGCTTAATGAGCTGATGAATCAAGTGTGTTGGATTAGGGAAACAACTAAAACATGCTGGGTACCGGCCCTCGGGAAAACGAGTTGGAGATATTGGTCTAGGCCTCTATGACCAGTTCCTATGAGGTCCAGATGCAAAACAAATAGGCCTAAATAAGTAAATTAAATGCTCAAATCTATTTTTTTACTTTCACAAGTCAGATAAAGGTTTCACAAATCACAAAATATGTTTTAAGGACTGTGCCATTAATGGGAAATGAGCTGGTCCAGTTTGCTGTAGTTTCATAATAAAGTTAAAGTCCCATAGTCATCATCACACACTTGTGAAATTCATCTCTGCATATAACCCATCCCCATGGAGGGGAGCGGTGAGATGCAGCTGTGGCCGCACTCAGGAACTATTTGGTGGTTTAACCCCCAATCCAACCCGTTAAAGCTGAGTGTCAAGCAGAGAGGCATTGTGCCCCATTTTTAAAGTCTTTGGTATTACCCAACCGAGAATCAAACCCCGATCTCCCAGTTCCAGGGCGAACAATCTACCACTAAGCCACTGAGCTGGTTTTACATGACTTACATGACTCAACAAGCTCTTCTACAGACTAACCCATCATCTTGCTGATGTGCAGCGGTTGGGTGAGACTGACAACCAGATGGTCCAATAGTTGGTATCGAACTGAACCGTGTTATTGATCGAGGTTAAAAGGCAAATGTGAAAGAGCTACTTCCTTTTTATCATTTTTGAAATCTCCACAATATATTTATAGCTATATCATGTTAGGACGTTGTTGAGAGGCATGACAAAAATGTTTTAAGCTAGCTTGTTTTGCAGATTTGCCATTGCAGCTTTAACAGAATGGCTTCAGCATGATGAGAGAAAACAACATGAAAGTCAGTGTCAAACACAAGCAAAGACAACATGGGACAAATAACTTTAATCACTGGTTTTAGATGATCCAATCCTTATTTCAGGACCTCAAAACCACATGTAGAGTATGAACACACAAGAAAGCTGATATTTTCAACCTGTCCTAATTCAATGTGACGCAACTCCTTCTGGCTTCTCAGATTTTTTTAAAGAAATGAAGATGATCAAACCACTCACTTACACCTTTTTATTGTGTTTTTTATTGTCATTTAAGAAAAAATTTCCTTCCTGATCCATGGCCCTGGGCATGTGTGGAAACAATGCGGCTCACATGGCTGCAACAATGCAGCTAAGGAGATCCGGCACCATCGCTGTGGATTGAGTGACGCTGTGAGGTCATTAGTTCACATTCTGAAACCTCACACATGCCTTTTCCATTCCTTTGCACCTGTAAACCATGTCATTTTCTATGATCTGCTATAATGGAATAAGTCCATACAACTTGTTCGCACTAGTGGATTAGTTAATTGTAGCGTCATGAATGGCCTCATATTCGTGACCAAGAGGTCACACTTTCCCAGCTGGGTCAAGCCGTAACTTTTGCACCACAGATTACCCCAGGAGCCGTGAAGTCTGCAAAACATCGTCTTTATCTGGCTGCTGTTCCGCCCCAAGATGAAGGACACTTCAAGATTTCAAAATAATAATTTTAAATTAATAATTTTGTTAAACTCTTTGACTGTTTATTACAAGGTTTATTACAATCATAAAATAATCATCATGTTCAGTATAAACGTATTTAATTACTGAAATGACTTATTATGCTTTGGGTAATAATAATTATTATTTATGATAATCAGTAATGTGTGTTCAGTAAACCAGAAGGTCATTTGCACGTTAACCACCTCATGCAGAGGGCTGTATCCAGGGTAAAGGTTAACCACCTCACATGTCTTTACTCCATAACATCAAGCTTTCTGACGCTGAGAGGGCGTGTTCTGAGGTTTTGTTAAAACCAAATTTCCGCAGCTCAAAGTCAGTTCTTGAACCATACCAGAGGACGAGGGTCGGCCGCCCCAGCCTCACTAAACATTCTGTCACGCCGATAGAATTGCTCCGAATAAACGCACCTGTTACCAGCTGACGCAAAACCTCCTTCAGAGTTAAGC